TTTTGAAGTATGTGTTATGCAATGTTCATATATCAAATTTAAACAAAGGTTTATTTTACAAATCTAGAGGAGATAGAGTTTGAATTTTCATATTGAAAAAATTTACATATATTGATCGGCGAAAAATCCGCACATATGATTTTTTATATGTGTGCTCAACTATGTTTGTGTTTATTATAATTTGTAACACCCCAACGTATTAGTATCGTACGTATGGGTTTTAGTACATTGTACGAACATATCATGTGATTTATGATAATTTTTATTGGTTGATCAAATGTAATATATATGTTAAATTCGTCAACTTTTGTCACAGCGAATTATAATAATAATCAAACTCTTGTCATAACGGATTTTTAAAACTTTTTGCTTCGCATATCACATGTAAAAACATATAAAAATCCGCTGTGGCAAGATTAGTATTAGTATTTAGTAATCTTGTCACAACGGATTTTAAATAAAATTTGTTTATGTGTACCGTTCATCCTCCGTGGCAAGGTTTGTCTATATTGTGGAATTAACTACATACTGTATATGATTAAAGATATTTAATACTACTATTAATTATTTTGAATTGATAATATAATTAACAAGAATGTAAAGATAATTTTTTTATTTCATTATAAATAAATAGAAAAAAAATTTAGGAATCACGTAATAATAATACTACTAATACTACTAATACTACTAACAATAATGCACCCAGGATAATGTAAATATAATATGATAATCAGGGTTTTTCTGATAACGAAGTAGTATTACGATCTGTTACGACCTTTAATTATAGTAATTGTAATAGTAATAGGCTGACAGCATAATATTATTATAAAATAACCACAGAAAATCATCGTACGTTCGTACAACAACGCTGACTATAATAATAACGTAAATAATATACAAGGGATTTAAATAAGCATATATAACATGATAATCAGGTTTTTTCTGATAATGAAATAGTATTACGACCCCAGTTACAACATCTAGTAATCCATTAATTATATAATAGGGTTATCGGTTTAATAATAATATTATTATTATAGAATTTTACAAAGTAATATTTTGTCACCGCAGAAAATAATCGTTCCTGATACATCGTACATTCGTACATATGTAAAATTTCCTCGTACAGGTGTACGACCACAACGAAACTGTACGAACTCAATGGTACGAAGTCAGTCGTACGTACGTACGAAGATTCTTCTCATACATCGAAATTGCACAACCCTGAATATATAAATTATTTAACTAGTTGTGTATGTTATTTAATGGGCAATGAATGAAAATTGAGTAAATTGGTACAATTCACCCTCCCATTTTCAACCCCAGTCCCATTTCTTAATCCTAAATATTTTGATTTTTATCTTGCTTAAATTCAATATCTTGAATGGTGGTTTTGACCGCTAGTGCATACGGTTAGAAAATTTCAACTTGTTTAGGGTTCTGACAGGAAGAACAGACTTTTTCTTTCTACCTTCATCTTCATTTACTTTAAATAACATAACTTGAATCAACTGCATTAATTGTAACTTGTATAATGTGTATTTGTTCTGTTGAACAATGATCTAAAACTAAACAAAATATTACTCTACAACAACGCAATAAACCAATAGGAAAATGCCAATTTTACAATCCAAAAAATTACTGGTCCCAAATATTGATAATTGCTATTGGTTACATAAGCTGGTGCAACATAAATAACTTACTGTTACTAATTTGTTGAGAGAACATGTGTATACATTCCGATTACATAAAATATTTCATATTTAAAAAAAAAATTTTTGTTAATTTGTTTATAAAAAATAAACAGATGAATTACAATTATGACCCCCAAAAAATTCGCGTTTTACCAAATGATGGTTTAAAATTACTTGTAAGTGATGGTTCATCATCAAACTATGAAATAAATGAAGTCCCAATAATTGATGAAAGTGGAGCTAAAGCCCATTTTAGACTTGTAACACATGATGATAGCAAGGCAATATTATGGAAAACAAAAGTTGGTAAAGGGTTAGAAAAATGGTTGAAAAGTTTTGATGAATTTAAAGATATGATGATAGAATGTATATATATTATTGTGTTATATAAATTTATTTTCTATTTTTACATCATTCAAAAAAAAATTAAATCTATTTTATAAAAATCTTTTAGCTACATTGTTAGAAATTCCTGAAGGTTACTCATTATATGAACATATAAAAGAATATAAAAATAAAGATACCAGAAGAGATACTTATCTTTATGGTGATATATCATACATAATCACTTTTTTTTTTTTTTTTTTTCAAGAAAAATTAAATTTTAATGACTACACTTTTATTCAATCAGGTGGTAAACATCGATTCAGATCACCTAATGAGTTTATACCACATGCAATATATATTGCATCAGATAGAAATGTTCCTTGTATTTGTAAATATTGTAATGGAAAGCCACAGGAACTTTTAGATAAAAACTCTGAAACAAATACATCTTTAGAAAATTATAATAATAATAACATTGATAATTATAGTAATGAACAATCATTGAATAGCATTACTGCTGAGAGTGCAACTGTTAAAAAAAAAGTAAATAAAAGGAAACAATCAATAATTGAACACAAGAACATGCCTAAACAAACAGCAAGGCGTTCAATACCTTTTCCCCTCAAAGCACCTGATATAAATCATATATATTATGAATTTAAGCCAGCTGCAAAAAAAGTGAAAGTCAATGAGAATACATTTAATGATAATTATGACAATAATAATAATACTCCTATGACAAATTGTGAGACTTCACCAATTTCCAGTACAAGTAAATTTAGCTCATATAACATTCATTCATCACCTAACACACCTGCATCCACATTCTATACTACTGGTTCTTCTCCTTATACTTTATCTCAATTCACAAGTCCAACAAAATCTACAAATGAAACCACAACACTATCTCCAATGCTTACACCATTTAAATATTCAAATATTCATACAGGTACATCAAAACCCATTAATACTATCACAAACTCAAATTCAACATCTACATCGTCTAAAGCTTCAAGCACATCTGCAAGTCCATCAAAATCTACAACTCCAACTAGATTTCCTGTAATTAAATTTGTAACAAAACCTACTAATACAACCACAACCTCAACTCCAATCACTTCACCACCAAAACCTGCTAGTGCCATCACACATATAACTTCATCAATCATAAAACCTACTAATACTATCACAACTTCAATTTCAACGCCGTCCAAAGCTTCAAGTACACCTGCAAGTACATCAAAATCTACAACTCCAACTGCATTTCCTATAATTAAATTTGTAACGAAGCCTACTAGTACCATCACAACATCAACCCCAATGGCTCTACCACAAAAACATACTAGTACCATCACAACCTCAACTCCAATGGCCCCACCACAAAAACATAGTACCATCACCCCTCTAAATCCAACGGCTACTTCATCTATTATAAAACCCACTAATATTATCACAAACTCAACTTCAACATCCACACCATCCAAAGCTTCAAGTGCACATGCAAATGCATCAAAATCTACAACTCCAACTAGATTTCCTATAATTAAATTCGTAACGAGACCTGCTAGTACTATCACAACCTCAACCCCAATGGCTCCACCACCCAAACCTACTAGTACCACCGCACCTCTAAATTTGACAGCTATCTCATCTATTATAAAACCCATTAATATTATCACAAACTCAACTTCAACATCCACACCATCCAATGCTTCAAGTATACATGCAAATACATCAAAATCTACAACTCCTAGATTTCCTATAATTAAATTCGTAACGAGACCTGCTAGTACCATCACAACCTCAACTCCAATGGCTCCACCACCCAAACCTACTAGTACCACTGCACCTCTAAATCCGACAGCCACCTCATCTATTATAAAACCCATTAATATTATCACAAACTCAACTTCAACATACACACCATCCAATGCTTCAAGCATACATGCAAATACATCAAAACCTACAACTCCAACTACATTTCCTGTAATTAAGTTTGTAACAAAGCCTACTAATACAACCACAACCTCAACCCCACCACCCAAACCTACTAGTACCATCACAACCCCAACTCTGATTGCTGTGCCATGTATATTTGAAACCGCAAAAACCACTGCTACCACTACATTATCTACAAGCGAAACCAGAACAATAATTCCAGTTGTAAGACCTGCCACAACCACAATCTCAACTGATAATAAAATTTCAATTAATTCTGCAATCCCGTTTACAACCACAAACGTGACACAAACTTATTCTACAACTTTAATCCAATCTAATTATAAACCCATAACTTCAAATAAAATTTCAACAAGAAATTCAACTTCAACATCCACACCATCCAATGCTTCAAGTATACATGCAAATACATCAAAATCTACAACTCCTAGATTTCC